TTGCGCTAACAAGTGGCCACCAGGCAGCAAGGCAGCAATGCAGCATCCAGCAGGCAGCGACGTTGTGGCAGCTGCACACGCGCCTGCCTCATTCGCTGCCTGCCCCATAATGACTTTCAAATGGGAGCCGCGTTGCGATTTATGTGCGTAAAAAACCGAGAAAGCAACCATGAGGCATTCAGAGAGAGAGAGAGAGAGAGAGAGAGAGAGGGAGGTTGGGCCAAACGGGACGGGAACTGGGCAGACCGGGCGGCCGTTTCTTGGAATTCCGCGCGCGCTTTTGTGTTCCTTTTTTTGTATGCCCCTAAACCATTGGAAATGGGTTAAGTAGGGTATATCAGCTAGGTGCAAATCCATGTAAAAGCCAAAACGCCCACTTAAGGTATATACACATATATATATATATAAATTTCCGATCAGCATCTGTCCGTCTCGAGAACTATATGTTGGAGTTGGAGAGAATTTGAGCCTAGGTCCCTCTGGAGCACAAAGAGATCGATAACTTTTTGGCTTTGTCGATAGATCGATAAGAATCGTTATCGAAATTTTGTTTTTCGATAGTTATTATTATAGATATTACCATCCCTTTCTTTATGTTTCTAGTCTGCCAATTTTTAAGCTATTTTGAGAAAACTTTGCCCGATCGCGCCACTATATCATGTAGCTGTGATCAGTCGTATATCATATTCTTATACGAAAACCTTTCTTTTCTCAAAGAAAAACTCAGCGCTTTCTATATCTAGCAAGGTCCTAACTAAATATAGCGTATGGCTCTTTAGGAAGAATCGTGCGAGAAATGAGTTTTTTTCAGTGGGAATTACCTTTCGCTTTGTGCCGATCTCTTGTGTATATTCAGGAATTGCAATCAATATGCGTCTCTATAGAGGAAAGAGTATTTCAGGCGCGACTTGCCACAGTTAGCCCTTTTTTCTGGTCTCTCAGTTGTTGCTGTTGCTTTTGCTGGCATCGTTTAAATTTCAAATCGAGAGGCGCAAACTGTCGCAGGGCAAATGCTGCACGAACCCGTTCCACAGCCGTTCCGCTGCCACCCTGCCCACCTGCCCCCTGGCCGCCCTGTCACGCAGCAGACGGAGCAGCCGTTGCAGCCGTTGCAGCACCTGCAGCCTGGCCTGCTCATAATAATGACACGCCATTAAGAATCTGATGCCCTGGCCAAAGGACTGCGGCAACAGGCTGGCCACATGCTGCATGCCGCATGCCGCATGCAGACAGCCTCGGCTCCAGTTTAAATGGCACATTGCGAGCGACTGTGCTTCCGTTGGCCACGCCCCATTCGCTTACCACAGGACAGCAGCTCAGTCGGCATTACCCTGCCCCCCCCCCCCCTGCACCTTCCCCCCTTCCCCCTCTTGACGCACCCTGTTTCAGTTGCGGTACAGTTGTGCCCAAGACATGACATTCCACAAATTTAACGCCCACTTTTGCTGCCTTCAGCTGTACGAAATTTCATGACTAAAAACGTGTTTTATTTTCATGCTCTTTGTTTTTTTTTTTTTTGATATTTTTTTCAGAAATTACAAAAAATTTCGAATGATTTCTTGCAGTAATAAATTGGAGTTCAATTATCGAAATATTCATAAAAGCAAAAGTAAATACTTATAATATATATTAAATGTTGAGCTTAAAGAAAATGTCTCTTAGCATTTCAAATATCCCGAATCTGTTTGTTGTTATGCAAAAGCCAGAAGGAGGCATCTCATTCAGCTAATCACAAATAATTTCGAACGTACAGCTCGGGTCTTATGCCTGTCCATCTGTGTGAACCCTTCGATCTCAGCAACTAGATAAGCCAGAGGCCAGAAATTTTAAATATTAACTCTTAAAAATCATGCACAGTAGAAATGTTTCATTTTGTGCCGATATCTGCCTGCATTTTCATCATATCGATAAATATCGATTTCGAAAAATGCTCTTTAAGGCAAAACTCGAAGACTTTAAGAGCTATTTGCATCGAATTTGGCGTGCAGCTTCCCGAATAGTTTATAATTCAAAGGAACATTTCACTTTTTGTGATAACCACAAAGATACCCTGTTAAAATTGAAAAAGGCTATGCATCTAGTGCTTCGGTATCCGAAGTTGTTTCAATGCCGCATTTAAGTCCTGAAAATCGGCCTACATGCACCGAAGTTAGTCAGGAATGCATTACGTTAAGATATGCTCCAAAAGTAAGCGAAATCCTTTTCTTATAAAATTGTCTGCTCTTTCTTTGCAGGCCAAACAGACATGAGTCCTTTGGCAATGCTGCCACTGGCTCTGGGTCTAGCCCTGCTCAGCGGCTGCCTCATACCCAGCTGCAGCAGCAGCGGGAGCGGGAGCGGGAACGGAAGCAGCAACAAGCTGGGCGTATATATTGAGCGGGCGCCGGAGTCGGCGGTGGCGCCGAAGGGTGACGAGGTGGTGTTCGAGTGCGAGCTGAATCTGAAGCCGGATCGCTTGGAGTGGCGATTCCGGGTGAGCGGCGGCGAGCCGTATCGTTATCTGGAACCGGCCGACGGCTACAATGTGACCAGCAGCAATGAGGAGCGCACCTGGAAGCTGCGCATCTATGTGACCGCCCAGACGCTGGGCGACTATCAGTGCGTCGCCTGGTATGGACCCGGCGCCATTGCCTCGACGCCGGCCCGGCTCACGCTCGTCTCGATCGCCATTGACAATCCGAGCAGCGGCTATGGCCGGCACGCGGTGCGCTGGAGCGTGGCGCCCAAAAATTGTGTGCTGCTGCGCTGCGGCTCGGTCACCTCCAATCCGCCGGCGATCTGGAGCTTCTATCGCAACGGCGAGAAGCTGCCGCAAACGGAACTATTGCCGGGCGCCGCCGGCGCCCTGGTCCTCAACTCGGTCAGTGGCAAGGATGCGGGCAATTATACGTGCGCGGCAACGAATGCCATAACCGGCGTGGAGCTGCGCCTGCCGCAGGTGATTGATTTGCGTGTGGACTATACGGATCGTACGCCGCCGTATTTTCTGCTCCAGCAGCCGGCGACACAGGTGGCCGCACGACCCGGCGAGACGGTGGTGCTCGAGTGCCCTGGTGTGGGCTCGCCGCGTCCGGGCGCCGTCTGGAGTAGTCCCAATGTGCCCAATATCTATCACAATCGCAGCCGGGTGCTTGCCTACGGGCTGCAGATCAGCGATGTCCGGCCCGAGGATCAGGGCTCCTATGTCTGCCGTCTGGACAATGGCATTGCGCCCGTTCTGGTGCACATGATCAAGCTGAGCGTGCTCGAGCGTCCGCGCATTCTGCACGGCCCCAACACCACCCTGACCAATGAGGGCGATCCCCTCTCCTTGGAGTGTAACGCCACCGGGCATCCACAGCCGGAGATCTATTGGCTCATCAACGGCGAGGATGCCAGCGCCGACAACGAGACGCTCATCGAGCAAAATCGCCTCCACATCCGCCATGTCCAGAAGCGTCACGCCGGCGTCGTCCAGTGCTTCGCACGCAATCAGCTTGGCGAGGTGAGTAAAGCAACGAATCCCGGAGCTGAGCTCCAGCTCCAGCTCTTTACTGTCTATGTGCGACTAGGGGTATTACGAAATACCATCTAAAATACCATTCCTGGGGCTAAATCAAAGGGAAGCATCTATAATAACCCAGTTCCATTGGAAGTTATTTAAAATCTGTAATATTCTAGATATGCCTTTGCTAGGCGAGAGCTTGCATACCAAATTTGATGCCTCTGGCGCTTATAGTCCTCGAGTTACGATCAAAATCGATATTTATCGATATAATGACAATTAACGGAGAGATCGCAACACATTATAAGATTACCTGGCGTACAGTTTGCTATAATTTAGATATTTCAATTTTCAAGCCTCTAGCTCTTATATTACCCAAGTTCGATAGGCAGCATGGAGGATACTATATATTCCTATATATATACATTATATAAAACTTCTTCTACTGACTGACTAGCCGACTGATTGCTGATTTTTGCTGTTGCCAGCGCATGGGATGTGAGAGATAATCGTTGAGACGGATTTTAGGAACTTTCACCCGTTAGCGTGGAAAATGGGTGGAAAGCTATTTTATGAAACTTTTTGCTTAACAAGCTTATCTTCCTATTCATTTGAGAGCTTTTCAGAAAATCCACTCTTGAGCGAACAATAGACGGTTCTAAGTTGAAAGTCCGACTTTTTGTGCATTCTCAGAGCTACGACAATGTTAAAAGGTGAAAATTTCTCACGGACAATGGGAATGGGTGGAAAACAAACACCTAACAAGATTGAAATGTTGGATAGAGCTAAAATTTAAGGAAGAGCAAATAATGAAATGCCCAAACTAAGCAATAGAGGAAAAAGAGAAGAGATATGCGAAACTCTCCTAATATTTCTTATATATTCTTCTCCCCTCCCCTCTCCACTCTCTCTCTCTCTCTCTCTCTCTCTCTTTGCAGACGAGCGAGGGGAACATTTTGCGCGTGAATCCTACGCAGCTCAGCGGCGAGGATTATCAGCCGCTGGGCGAGGTGCCGATGCGATCGCCCCACGAATCCGGCAATGGTGGCGGCGGCTCCTCCTCCTCCTCCTCCTTTTCCGGCTATTCGCCGTCCGGGTCGGGCAACTTTGGCGGCGGTTCGCGCAACAAGAAGCGCAAATACATGAGAGTTGGTGAGTAGATATTTCTGTTTCTGTTTTTTGTTTTTGTTTCTGTTTTATGTGTGTGTAAATTTGTTCGTTTCGTGGCTTAGTTCACTGTATTTCATATCGATATACAATTACAATTTGAGAATTGGCTTAAGGGTAAACGATGATCGGTAATCAATAATCGATACACGACAATCGGTAAATAGTAAACGGTAATCGGTAATTGTTAATCGGTAATCGTTAATCACGGCCAGCCCGCACGTCTGGCCGTCCCGCCCACCCGAAAACAATTAAAGTAAATACGAAAAAAAAAATAGAATATAAAAGTAAAAATAAAAATTTGAAAAATGAATTGAAAAAAACTTAAAAAAAAAAAAAATTAATATATATATATATATATATATGTTAATTAAAGATAGTTATAGACTATATAGAGACTATGTGGTAACCAGCTGCATCCGGGTTAGAGCAGCAATTGCATATCCAAATCCATGTACGCATCCTGCGCTGCCTGCGCCGTCCTCTCGGCGTGCTCCATCTCCATGTCAACCTCCACCTCCGTATCCGTGTCCGCATCCGGATCGGCATCCGGATCGGCGTCCGCTTCCGCCTCCGCATCGCTTATATCCTCCAGATCTCATGTGCTGGAACATTTCTGCAGCTGCTCCTCCTCCTTTTGCAGTATGCGTATCTTCATTTTGAGCTCCTCGACGCGCAGGCGATGCACCTCGCGCATATATTTGAGCTCATCCTGCGCCTTGTTCAGCTCAATCTTCTTGGCCTCGGTGGCCAGCTGCTGCTCCTTGCAGCGCAGCTCCGCCTCCTTCACTTTGAAGTAGTTGATGCGCTCCTCGTAGCTATCCCCCGCCTGCTGCTGCTGCTGTTGTTGCTGTTGTTGCTGCTGTTGTTGTTGTTGCAGCTGCAGCTGCTGTTGGGCGCCCGTTGGCAGCGTTCCAGCGCCGCTTACGCTCACATTTGATACAGCCGCCGGAGCAGCGGTCACCGGCACAGTGACCGGCACAGGCACAGTTACGGGCACAGATGTGGCTGCCGTCACCGTGGGCAGTGCGCTGAATGTGAATGTGGGCGTGCCGCCGGTCAGCTGCATCTTGACAGCAGCTGCTGCTGCTGCCGCCTGTTGCTGCTGCTGCTGTTGCTGCTGCACCTGCTGCTGCTGCTGCTGCTGCTGATGTTGCTGCTGCTGTTGCTGCTGCTGATGCTGCTGGACAACTACAGCGGCGGCGGCCTGCTGCTGTTGCTGCTGTTGATGTGCCGCAGCTGCCGCTACGGCCAACTGTTGCTGCTGTGCCGCCAGCTGTTGCTGCGCCAGTTGCTGTGCCTGGGCCTGGGCCTGAGCCTGGGCCTGGGCCTGAGCCTGGGCCTGGGCCTGCTGATGCTGCTGCGCCTGGTACTGGGCCAGCGTGATCTGCTGCGGCTTGATCTCGCTTATGATCTGCTGATTGTAGCCGCCAGCCGTGATCGTCGCCATCGTGTGCTGCTGCGGCTGTGCGGGTATCGTGTGTATCTGTGTGGCTGCAACGAGCGGGCAACAGTTCAAAAGTTAGTTCTCAATAGATATATATATATATATATGTGTGTGTGTGTGTGTACCTGTGGCATCTGTGGGATGCTTGATTTGCAGTATGATCTCGTCGCGCTGTCGCGCCGGCTTGAAGTGCAGCAGATCGTTGAGCGTCAGCTTCTCCGCACTGATCGAGTCCACGTTGATGCGATGCGTTTTCAACATGCTCGCATTGGCGGCTGCCACGGCGGCGCTCACCTGCAGCTTTTGCATCTCGGCGACCGCCGATTGCTGTTGCTGCTGCTGCTGCGCCTCGGCTTGTGCCTGTGCCGCCGCCTGCTGCTGTTGTTGCTGCTGTTGTTGTTGTTGCTGCTGTGCCTCGAGCGGATCATCCTCCATTTCGCTGACATCGTTGCCATCCATTTCGATCTCGTCGAAGGGCTCGCCCTGCGGATTATGCTCGGACGCCTCGGGACTGATTTGATACTCCGGCTCCACCTTGACGCTGTCGTGATGCTGCTGCTGCTGCTGTTGCTGCTGTTGTTGTTGTTGCTGCTGCTGTTGCTGTTGGGCGCTGGCCGAGACGGTGCCCACCTTGCCCAGCGCTGCGCTGCCACCCGATGCGCTGCCATCCCGATATGGATACTGTTTGCGCAGACTGTAAATGTGAATGGAAAACGATTAGAAGGCTGCACAATCGAGCAATCGGGCTGATCCATTGCCAGGGCCGCACTTACCGGGAATTCAGCCAGAACTTTTGTATTTGCTTGATGTTGCGCATGGCGCTGACATGCGGATGCGAATTGAAGTCGCGCACAATCTTGTCCCAGGTATCGCGGACGGAGTACTTGTTGCGCTGCTTCTTTCTGTGCTTGATGTCGATGACCTCCTCGTGCAGATGGAACAGCGTGTAGAGCACGTCCTTCTCCTCGGCGGTGAAGCGCGGCGTCAGCGGCAGCTGCCCCTTTGAGCTGCCCGCCGTCGAGCCATTGTTGTTGCTGTTGCCGTTCGTGTTGCCGTTCGCGTTGTTGTTGTTGTTGTTGTTGGGGCTGCCGTCACCCACGCTTATGTTGCCGCTCACGCTGACCGTTGCCTGGACGACGGCGACGTTGTTGCTGCCATTTGCGGCACCGGCGCCCGCATCTCCGGCTGCCGACATACTTTTCGATTCTGCAGCTCGCTTGATTCGATCTGCCACGGATTTTAAATAGTGTTTTTGTTTATGTTTCGCCCGTTTTGTTTTGAGTTTTTCAGTATTGAATTGAGTTTGTTTATGTACGCCAACGAGATGCGGTATCACTCGAGTAGCGGCTCGCCAGTTCCAAATCCGAGTCCGAGTCCGAGTCCAAGTTCGAGTGCGAGTGCGAGTGCGAGTTCGAGTCCGTTTGCGAGTGCCAAAGCAGCGATGCCGAGTAGCGAGTAATTTATACGAAAATCAATTGCACTCGTTTTGCTTATACACACACACACGCACACACATAAACACAGACACTCGGGGCGAGAGTGAGCGCGCGCGCGTGTGTGTGTGAGCGTCGGTGTGAGTCTTTTTTTGTCTGTTGTCGTCTGCTGTCCGTCCGCTTGCCACTGGCACTGGCAACTGCCACTTATATTGCACTAGAGATGTGTGTATAAAAAATGTTGCGACGCTTGCCAGTTGTACGCTTCTCGCACGAAATTGCCAATCATTTAATTGCGTTTGCTATTTTATGTTAATGCGCGCGCTTAGCTGGCTCAGGTTTGGTGTTTTTTATTTTTTTTTGTCTATTTGTGGCAGGCAAACGGCAGCAGCACAAAATATTTCGCTCAAAACGCGTACGCAGCTATGACGATACTACTCAATGCAGCACAGCGATACTACTCAATGCTTGAAAGCGATACTACTCATAACCATTAACAGCGCTGTTAGCTCTATTGTGCGTGCTGTTGGCGCATTTCAGTTAACAGTGCGCGAGCGCGTGTTTGCGTTAACAGTGCTGGCCATAAAAATAACATAAAATTAAAATGAAAAGAATTTGGTATTCATTAATTAATAATAAAATGGAAAATTTGCTGTTGCAGCCAATATGGTGCCGCCATCGCGACCCAATGTCACACGCCTGGCCGACGACGCCGTCATGCTGCGCTGGAATGTGCCCAAAAACGACGGCCTGTCCATACAATTCTTCAAGGTGCAATACCGCATGCTCGGCAAGATGCCTCGCGAGAACTGGCAGACGACCAACGAGAACATACCCTATGGCAAGCAGCAGCGGGACAGGGAACGCGATCGTGACCATCATCATGAGCCGGCGTATGCTGGCGTCAAGAATTTCACGTCGTCGGTGACGGGTCTGCGACCGGATCGCAATTATCGCTTCCGGATCGTGGCCGTTTACTCGAACAACGACAACAAGGAGGGCAACACCTCGGCCAAGTTCTTTTTGCAGCGTGGCGGCGCCAAATCGAATCTGCCGGTGCCTCAGCTGCGCGACATTGAGCCCTACTCCGAGTCCGCGGTGCTCCTCCATTGGACACTGGCCCCGACGCCCGCCCAGCAGCACCAGATCGATGGCTACTACGCCTACTACAGGCCGGCCGCCTCCGCCGCCGAGTACCTAAAGGCGACCGTCGACGGCGGCCATGCGCGCCGCTTCAAAATCGACCAGCTCGAACCGGGCACCGCCTACGAGTTCAAGCTGCAGACGTTCAATGCGCACGCCGCCTCCGAGTTCAGCGAGATCAGGCAGGCACGCACGCTGAGTAAGTGACCAGCTGCAGTTGGATTCTGATCGATTACTAAAACAATTTGCTTGTCATTTTGCAGAGACCTCCAGCCATGCGGGCAGCGGCGCCTCCTCGCCCGCCATTGTGCCCGTCTCGAACGGCGGCTCGGGCGAGCAACAGAATTCCATTTATCCGGTCATCGCAGGCGCCGCCGGCGGCGGCCTGCTGCTGCTCATTGCCATTGCTGTCGCCTGCCTCTGCCTGCGCCGGCGCAGCAGTGCCCAGCCCGAGGGTGAGTCCGCCCGCTGCCGGGCAAATGCTTGCTTCGGCTGCAGCTAATCCCGTTTGTTCAATTTCAGACGAGAACAAGCCGCAATTGGATCACATTCAAGCCGATTTTGTTACGTCCGCCGTGCTCGGCGTGGCGCCTCATCATGGCCACAAACCGGCCGATGTTCGGCGTCTGAATGGGGTTATTCCGCGCATGAACATCACGCCCAATCCTCTCGCTCAGGATCCCACGGCCGACAAGGTAAGCTGCCACACTCCCGCTCCCAATCTCACTTCCGCTCTCCATCTTTCTCTTTCTGCCAAGGAACTGCTCCACTTTCCCACTGGCTTTTATATCAAGAAGATTTACAAAAACAAAAACCCTTTTCGCTGGTTACTTGGTCAAAATTTAATTTAAAAAACGTTTCTCGCCTCGCTCTGCCTCCGACTCGCCTCCGACTCGCCTTCTCCTCGCTGCAGCCAAAGCTCTCTCTCTCTCTCTCTCTCCCCCTCTCTCTCTCTCGCTCTTACACGCTTTTTGTTTATCCTCAGGATTAATTTTGTAGCCCCATCCATTCGTTTATCCTCGGCTTATTTCTTACCATGGACTTGGAATACAAATAGAAAGAAATTCAAAATATTATTATAAATCATGTAAAGCTTTTATCTATCTTTATTTGCTTTTCTTTTCGCATGTCTTTTATTCGCTATTATGCATTTGTCTGTCTATCTCTTTTTATATTTTTTTTTGAACACTTCTTTCGCTCTCTTTCTTCCATTCTCTTCTCGTCTACCTTCTCTCCTCTTCGTTCTTATGCATTTGTCTGTCCTTATCTGTTTTATATATCTTTTTATACATTTCTCTCTCTCTCACTCTTCGTTTCAATTTACTTTACTTTTTCTGTTCCTTTTTAGTTGTATTTTCCTGTTCCTTGTTTCTTTCTTCTTCTCTTCTTTTCTGTCTGCTCGCTCTCTGAGTTTCTCCTCAATTCTTTTTTGCATTCTTCGCATTTTGCTTTTCATGCTGTCTTTATCTAATTTGTCTTCTTCTTGTATATCTTCCTTTTGCTTTCTTTTTTTGCGTTTGTTGTGTCTTTCTTCCTTCTCTTCGCTTCTTTTCTTTCTTCTCTCTCTTCTCGTTTCTTCTATTTCGCTCAATCTTCAATTTCCTTCTCTCTTCCTTCCATATATATTTTGTATATATATTTCTTTCGCTCTCTTTTTCTTTGCCTTCTCCTTTGCTCTTTCCCTTCTTTCGTCTCTTTCTCTGCCTTCTCCCCCTCTTGGTGTACTCTCTTTCAGTTCTTGTGCTAGCTTAATCGCTGCTTCTCCTGCCCCGCCTGCTCCTGCCTCGCCTTCAGCCGTTTGTTATTTTGGTCTCGTCTCTCGCTTCTCTCTCCTCGCTGGTTTGTGGTCTTCCGCCTTCTGTTCTTCTGATCTGTCGTCGCGCGTCGCGCTCCTCTCTCCACTCCCCCGTTCGCCATTGCCAAACTGAGCGTCCCCTGTTCCAGAATCGCAATGTCATGGAGCTGCGCTTTCTGCCGCCCAATGGCAATGCCACGCCGGAGCATGCCGCTGCGAACGCCGAGCCGGATGCTGGCCCCGATCTCTATGCGGACGCGGATATCGATGCGGATGAAGCTGAAGATGAGGCTGCAGATGGAGATGGAGATGGAGATGTTGCTGGCAGCGCAAAGGCGCTGACCGGCGCCTCCTCCTCCTGCGAGACACTGGAGGCATGCGAGGGTCTCAGCCAGCCGCAGCAGCAGTCGCAGCAGACCTCGACGGAGGCGCCCAGCAAGCCGCTGCCGCCGCTGCCTTTGCCCAAGAAAACGGCCGCAGCCAAAGCGCAACAACAACAACAACAACAACAGCAACAAGTAAACTTAAGCAAAAATCAGTTGAGAAACGTTTTTAGGTTAAGTTTTGTTGCCAAGCGACCAGCGAATATGTTTGCAACACCTGCCACATGCCACATGCCACACGCCTCTTAGCCTTTACTTGTACACACACTAATCTCTCTCCCCCTCTCTCTCCTGCAGGGCAACGCCCTGGCCGCAGCTGCCGCCGCCGCCTTGCATCAGCCGGGCCTGCATCATGCGCAGCCCTACCATGCGCCCGGCACGCCCACATTTGCGCACAAACGTCACGAGTTTCAGCAGCCGCCGCCCGTGCCACCGCACGCCGCCTACTATCAACAGCAGCAGCAGGTGACAGGCGGCGCCTCGCCCATGTTGGATCAGCAGCGACGCACCTTGGAGCGCAGCGTGCGCAGCCTGCAACAGCAGCAGCCGCCGCACTCTGGCTATGGCATGGAGGATGGAATGGGCACGCCGACGCCTACGCGCATTCCCTCGCTGCGTCGGCAGCGACGCGCCTCTGGCAGCCAGCACAACAGCCACACAAATCTCAACAATCATCACAACAACAACAACAACAACAACAACAGCCACAACAACAACAACAACAACAACAACAACAACAATAATAATAATAATAATAATAACAATGTGGCACATCATATGCTGCACCATTCGCATCACCCGACATCGCACACCGGCGGCAGCCACGTGGGCATACCCCATGTGCCCGGCAGCCCGCGGGTTCAACGCTCCCCGATGCCCGCGCGCGCCCTCATCAAGCGGACGCGCCTTGGCAGCCACACGGACAACATCTCCTCGGGCAGTCTCAACAGTATTGAGGTCTAGTTTCTAAGACGCGACACCGCCCGCAGCCACGCCCACAGTCTACGAGAGGCGACTTGTCATATATGATTATTATTTTGATACATTTTTGCTAATTTATTTAGTTCTTGTTTAATCGCAACTGTCGCCTGGGCGTGTGGGCGTGGCTGCGCCCAGTCTTTTTTCATCTATATATATATATATATATATATATATATATATATATATATATATATATATTTTTTTTTTTGTATATTTAGTGTTATTTATTTATTTAAATTTAATTAAAGCAAGAACATTTTGCATGCATAAATTAAGTTGTATTAGATGCGCCCCCCTCAACCCTCTTCGCGCGGACCAGAGGAAGGAAGGAGTAGAAGAAGAAGAAGAAGATCTAATTTAAGTCGTTCAACTATTAACGTTAGATTCGCAGCCTAATTTTAACACTAATTTAAGCGCCTAGAACTACAATTAAATTCGATTTTTTTTTTTCTAAATACACACACGCATATATAATGTATAAAAGAAATTCCCACACACGTACACACACAGAAATCTCCTAAATAAAATATAAAATGCAAGAAATTCTATAAAAAAAAAAAAAAAATGAAAATATAAATATAGTTCAAATGCCCCTCGAAAATATGCCAAATGGGGCAAAAGGAAGCCGCACAGGCTGAGATCTGCGCCAGCTTGGATTCGATACCTCCATCTAAAAGCGCAGTAAATAGCATTAAGATCGGACTCCAAGCACCGAAGTTCATTAAGTATGCATGCATTTTCGTCGCAAGTGTGGAGAGCAAAGCCGCAGCTGGCAATGGAAAAGGACCTTCTGTGATGTTGACATAACTTTCCCGATCCATTAAGGATCTTATGTCGTTTAATGGTGACATAACTGCGGCATGGCGATATAGTTTTTTCTTTATTTACAAATTCAATCCATTGTTGATATAGCCAGACTCTTGCAGGCGCAAGATCTCGACTGTCTCACACCCATTTGCTTAGCTGAAATATTCCCAAATGGAGCCCATTGTGAAAAAGTATAGCAAATATTGTTGTTGTTTTTGGTTTTCTTTCGATTTATTCAGATATATTTTCTTGTTTAACCTACAATTTGTTATAATAATCGTAGAGCTTCGCTTAAACAATGTGTCTATAGATGTTGCGTCCGGGACGAGTGCGGGACC